AACAGCTATTATATCTGTAATAATGGCAAGAAAAGTAAAATTTGAAAAATAATATTTGTAGAAATAAATTTTTTAAATAAATTAAAAGCGATTATCTTACATTTTTATCGCGTATTTGAAGACTGTGATCTATCAGCTTTTGTCCTTCAAAACTAAGAAAGAATAAATGAATCAGCTGACCAAAGACATAGAATATATACCTTAATGCCTCTAAAGTATCTTCATTCCCTTGTGCGATCTCGAAAAAAAAATATTGTAATTTTTCTTGCAGAGCTAGTACCATTTTTATAATAAATAATAGCATACTTGTAGCAAAGAAATGCTCATCTCTATTGTCACTATCAACATTTGTATAGCGAAAGGTGTAGTAAACGTATTTTCAAGAAGTTGTGCGTACCTGTGACATAAAAGATAACATATTGTGACGTGACATTTTCACGGTCCGTCACAAGGACGAGTAAGCCCGGTCGAGGAGGGAAATTTGAGGCCCTCACCGCGGGGGACGGCAGCCTCTCCCTCTTAATTCCTTAAGCTTTGTAGAAATTTCGCAGATCAAAGTGGCCAAAAACACCCGTATGTACTAATGAGAAGCAGCCTTCGTGGGACCTGCGAGGGACTCTGCAGGCAGGACGACGGAGGCCCGGACATCGCGTGGACAGATCCGAAATAAGGTCACGTAAGAATACTCTTTCTTATACAATTAGACTCCAAACAATGTCGAAGATAAGATAAAGTTTCAGATACGGAACATATCGAGGCCGGTGGACGCACCGAGAGAAATGACGCCCGAGAGGAAAGCGCGCTCTCACATACCGAAGACCCGGGGTGGAGTACCAGAAATAAAGGAGCTACCGTAACGAGCCAGGAAGGAGGAATCAGATCGGAACCTGGCCAGTTCCCGACCGATTCCACACACGGTCCGGATCCAGATACAGAATAGGCCGCAAAGGACGTTCGAAGTAGCTGCCGTAAGAAAAACCGGGGTCATCTCGAAAAAGCGCCACAGAGGGCCGATATATCGAAGAGCGACGGGAGGATCGAGAGTACCGAGTCGATAACGAAGGATCAAGGATCACTAATCGATAGCGAGGATCTACATGCGCAGGACCATGGTGTAAAGAATATAAGGTGAAGCATTCCGATGGATGCACAGTGGTTCAAAAGTAGTGGGGAACAGCGAACCAATCAAATATGCCCGGTGATGCAAAATTCAATATGGCCGGCGCACGATAGAATCAGTTACATAGTGTTGACAATGATTGACATCGGTGGCTATCACTTATGTGTATGTGTGAATATTACTTGTGAAGTTTTGACAAGTCGACGACAAATTTTCAACCATGCCAAGTTGTTTCGTGAGAAATTGTAAAAATCGGACGAATGATATATTCAGCAAAAAAGTGAGATATTACTCGTTTCCTTAAGATTGGATTTTAATGTATTTTATTTATTTCATTTTATTATTTTTTTTTTGAATTTTTAATGCAATAAAATTAATATAATAAATTTTAATATAAATATAAATACTGTTTTTATTTTCAAATAACTTACTACATTTATAATTGGCGCGTTTCCTTATCGGACAAATTTGATTGGTTGAAATTTTAAGTCGCCGCCATATGCGCAATACTTCACCTTATATTCTTTACACCATGCGCAGGACGATGCGCGGAATGTCACCGCTGTCCGGCGAGCCTCACTGTCGTCATTGTTCGGCGAGTCGGCAACCTGAGCGGAACCTCGAGGATCACAATGGGCGTACCGACAATTTTGTAAGGCCACCATTTCGACTTCGCGGTAAGAGCGGTATCAATAGGCGGCCCGAGCTTCGCGGAAATAATATCCTGCATAATGTACTTGAGGGGTACCGTATATACTGAGATTTCTCCCGGTACCGTGTCAGGTTAGTATTTAGGCCCGGGCCCCGCTGACTGCCGCTAATTAGACTAAGATTTCACCACGTCCTTTTCCCCCTCGGGGCTGCCGAGTCGACAGTCGTTGTTTCGCGTTTCTTATTGTGAATCTATGTCATAATTTCGCGTCAATCCGTGTTTATGAGTATCGCG